CAGTAATTACATTATTTTATTTAGACAATTATAATCCCTCTTTGAAAGCTTCTAAAATTTATAAAATCCAAGTAACAATAACAAAAGACTTTTACATTTATAAATGTAAAGTACACCAAAAAAATAAAAGCTGCAAATAAATCACAGGAAACATCATCAATAAAAATGCCTGTAAAATTTCAACAATTTTACGGTCATCAAAAAAGCATTTTCTGTTTTATTTAAAATGTCTTCTATTAAATACCAAACAAAAAAAAAATAAATGTTAGATTAAAAGTCCAGAGTATTGCACAACAATTGTCATCCTGTAAAAACAATAGTTATCGCAACACATAGATTTATTTTTGTACCATAAATAAATGGGTTGTAATAAATTGCATAATTTGGTCAAAAATTTTCCGGTATTTCTTCGCGGCTTCTTCAATTTTTCAGAATTTTTGCATCGTTTTATCATGGCCGGCATTACAACAATACAGCTCCTTTCGCTTAGATTTTTCTGTAAAAAGAAACAAAAGGAAAAAATAGACATAATTTCTGAGAGATTTGATGATGAACTGAAAGCAAATTCGTTTTCCGCACACGTTTGCTCAGAACTGTTACCAGTTTGTTAACTATATATTTTGATTTGAGAACCACTTGACATGCGAGACCACTTCAATCTGAATTAAGACAAGGTAATGTACCGTGTGAATAAGTCCGGAATTTTTTGCTAAACTGATAGACTTTTCCGGCTGAAAAGTCCTTTCTCTCACTCATAATTAAAAGGTTCTGATTTCAAAAGCCTCACACTTTTGTGAAGTTTTCATTGGCACGAGGAAAACGAAAAAAAAACGGTAAGAAAATTGACCAACGAGAACAAACAAAAGACTATTTCTGATACTTCCGTAATGATAATAACTTTTTGAATAGAAGGGCAAGGCTTATTTTTATCTGATCTGAAAGGACAAACGATATCAGTAGACTAGAATTCTGTTAGACTTGTTAACATCTGTAAAACCTCTTGTCTCTATGAAGTAAACTTCGACTACATTTTAAATTACTAATCTGAAGCTCATATAACCAAATTTATGAGGTAAAACCGAGGGCATTTCTTGAAAACCCTGAACATTTTTATAAACTGCTGTTCTCAGTTTTGTGTTATAGTGACAGTTTGGAACTGCCGCCCAACTATACAAAAAAGCTCTATTTTTTCAAGCATACTTAGCACAACCTACTGCAGTAAACTGAACCGCAGAAAATGATGTAGTTTGAGCCAAAAAAGAATCCATAAATTAAAAATCTTCTTTATGTTCAAACCATTCCATTCCATTCCGGACAAGATTTATGAGTAACTAACAAAATCAGGAGTTTTTATTTTAGAAATATTATTAAAAAAACGACAGATCTTCTGGTTCTGCAATGATATATCTTTTTTGAAGTTTTTTTTGTTTACAAGAAATAAATCTGAAACCCATGCAGTTATACAGTGCTGAGTTGTAAAGCAGAAAAAGCTGTACGTAAACTGCACTTTAACACAGTTTTTTAAAAGGTTATAACACCTGCTCCAGTAACATCCGTATCGACAATTTCCAAACAGAACAATACGAGCTAAACAAGCCGGACCACAGGAAATAAAGTGCCCTGTGTTATTAAAGTCTCGGCTTATTAACTCGTACTGATGTTGCTCCCGGAAATTATTATTCGCTCACTACCGAACAGCTATCGCAAACTAAAACTTACTTCTTCCTGTTGACAAAAGACTTTCGATAAAACACTTTGCTAAAAAATTCAAAATACTCGATATCTGTTATGCATCTTTTGAAGCAAAAATTCTTATTACTTTTGAGTTTTCTAAAGTACTAAATATTGAAAAAATTTTTAAGAAACAGAAGAGATGTTTTTGAAAGTAAACATATAAGAGTTTGTGCAATGCCGGAAATAAAGTGAGTAACCTCTGAAGAAAACGCTGCTAACATCAGAAAAGGAGATAAATTGACTTGTAGTCTCGCCCCCACTCAAATACAATCGGAACGAAGACCCATCAGCAGTCTTTGCAAGCTTCCGGTTTGCCAGGGTTGTCGTTCAGTTTCGTGATCGACCAGTCTTGGAATATTTCCAACTCTTTAAACTTTTCGTATAGTACAGCAAAACGCATGCGGACGAGGTATTCTCTTGAGTTTTGGTAGTGGTGTTTCAAAAATAAGTTTTTGCACCTTTGATTCTTAATTTTTATGAGGATCACGAGATGGATACTGGGGACAAGTTGGTGTCGTTTAATGGCCACAGCGTCTGTTCCATCGAAGGCTGAACTGGGACCAGCTAGGCGTTCTACTGCTCAAAAGAAAGATAGAAGAAGATCAAGTGATACGGTGGAGTTTCATTGATGAAGTATTGTTTATTTTATAAAATTTTCATCTTCTTGACATCCGCTGTATGGGGGATAATTCTAGTTTACTAAAATTTTTTCAGTTTGGTCTTCTGGGTAGTCTTGGACGAGGTGTGCCACTTTTTCGTGGAAAAAGTGGTTTGGATCAGGATTTTTCGGCTCCTGATGTAAATAGTGGCTTAAAGCATGGATACGAAAAAAAGACGGAAGGTTTGAGGAAATTTGAGCTACGAGAACAAAAGTTAGTTTGCAAAAATTTTCATACCGATGACTGTGTCTTAATTGTTCTTAGTCGGTATCATATTTTGTCAAAGTACTTCTGTTTAGAACAGTTCCCATTATAAGCGAGCCTTTGTCATTGAGTCATGCTAAGAAGAAGAAAAAAGAGAGGCAGCAGAAGGCTTTGGAAGAGTTTAACCGGCTGTATGGTGTTGATTATGAGAATGCAAAACTCGTAATAAGTTTGTTCTTGCTCCTTTCCTTTAGAAGTTACTAGTACTGGTGTCTTTTAAATTCGCGATCGGTTTTCTTTTATAAAACGAGCTCTAGCGGGAAATTGTTTTTCCAAAGAAAAAACCCACCATGATCACATTTGGTTAAAGCGTCTGACTGTAAAATTTATTCAGGATTACACTTTGGTTTTACTTCATAATGGTTTCATTTTTGTTGCCTAGGCTGTGCGCGTAGCGAATTTAACCACTATGAGGGAATGAGATATCCTGCCGGGGAAATCCCTCTTGTCAGCCAGTATTGGTCAAAATCGAAATATGTGAATGACTGGTTCACCATCAAGCCGTTAAAGGCAATTATTTGTTATCGGCTTTGTTATGGTTTTCGAAATAGTTTATGTTTTTTGCATGTTTTTTTAAATTTTTTTATTGGGAGTTTCTTTATGGAGATTTATCCTATTTATAAGCTGCTGATCCTTTTTAACCTGTTCACAAGTTACGGCTTTAGAGTACTTCGTTTGATCTTGGAAGTGACTGGATCTGGGAACAGTTTTTTGAGAAGTTGGATAGCAAAGTGATCGAGAATGCTATCAAAGATGGCTATTTAAAGCCAACAGCTATCCAGGTTTCTATTTGAACAGTAATTATAAGTTTTTTTAACGGTAATTTTTTGAAATTATTTGGACTTTGCACAGGTACGAACTTGCCTAGCATTCGCAAGTGCTAAACATCTTTTCGTTGCTGCAGAAACTGGTTCCGGAAAAACAGCAGCATATGCTATTCCGCTTCTTTCTCAGTTGTTACGGGACCTTAATGATGGATTCAATTCCAAGGGTCAGTTAATTAACAGTAGTTTGACGGGAATTTTTTGGGCTTTCAGTTTTTAGTATACTACGGAGAACCAGCCGAACAATCTTTAGTACATTTGCTGCTATTATTAAGAAAAGTAAATGATTTGTATTGTAACCGTTTGTTTCAAAGCATTCATCGTGCTTTTCAACCCGTTCTTTACTGACTAACAGTTCTTTGGTTTAGCTTTGGTTCTGGTCCCGACTTTGGAGTTAATGGATCAAACAATATTGACTTTTGAAAAATTATGCGAAGGTACTGTTGTAAAAGTCTACAAAAGGAACAAAACTGATGGTTTTTCTGGTGCCACGCTGAACTCTGTTCCCACAAGGGTTTGTTTTAATTCATCATAAAGTAAACTTTTACGGCTCTAAGGTGATTTACCGATTACAGATGGCAACTATTCTGTCATCAACTGCACTCTGTTGTTCTTAAGTGTGAAGTGCTGTACTAAGAGTGTTTATGCTCACAAGGCCATGGGTAACAACTTTACAACCTAGTTTTCTTATACTTTATTCAAACCTTTTAGAAGTGGGATGTATTGGTGTGTACTCCTGGATTGAGTTGTAAAGTTTTATCGCAGTTTGACACGAGTTCAGTCAAGACGGTTGTGGTTGATGAAGCAGATATGCTCCTAGATGATAGTTTTGTTAGTATCTTATCGGATATTTTTAGCTTGGTGAAATTGCGCAACTCTGAGACAAATCGAGATACTCCTGGTGATTTTTTTCCCTGATTTTTGTATGATTGTTTTTTTTTTGTTTTTTTTTCTGGAGGGGGCGTTGCTGGCTTGTATTATCTGTCAATATCTTAATTGTTTAGGCGGAGCAAGAATAATTTTTTGTTCTGCAAGTTGCCCAGAAACTCTTCAAGATATAGTGGATAGTGTAGTGGACAGAGAAAGCTTGCACTACGTTAGATCTCCTCGGATTCATACTCTTTTGAGCCATGTAAAACAGAAGTTCATTAGAGTACGAGAAATGGAGAAGATGGAAAAGTTAGCAGAAATTCTTGAGAGACCAGGGACAAAAGGGCAAAGTCTTGTTTTCTGCAAAGTAAAAACTTATTTACTTTTTCGTTCTTCTGCCTTTTGCGGCTTATTTTTTTTTTAGATGAATGCAGATGGTTTTAGGACAAACTAACGAGGAACTATGTGTCAAGAACATTGACGAGTCGAGGTTTTCAGAATACAATACTTGGGGAGCACAACAGAAAAGAAGTTTTTCTTCAATTAGCTGAGAGTACTTATGGAGTGATCGTTGCGACTGATCTCGCTAGCCGGTAACTTTATTTTTATGTGGTGTTAAAGAAATTTAGGTGGAATTCTCGGAACTTAAGAATAAAGCAAAGGTCTTTTTGAATCCTTTATCGAGAGTTCGATGTAAAACGCCCCGCTGTTTACTTGTATGATAATCGGCTCACTGTTGAGCGGAGAGTTTACAGTCAGTTACGCTTAAATAGGATATCAGTGAATCAGTTTGGTTTTGTTGAGTGGAAGCTGTTTTTGGGATCATTTTTTTTCTTCCTAGACATAGCTTTTCAGTTCATTGTTCTGAAAGGATTTATACTTTTTTCTTTCTTGTTGGGACAGCCTTTGACTGTTTAACCAGCCTACGCCGAGTAGATTCCGCTAAGTGTCTTTCAGAAGATGTCTTTCGGTTTCTTGATTTCTGGTTTAGTAGTTCTCAAAAAAGGTTCGGCGATTTTTCATTACTCCTCTATTCAAAAGTCTGGGAACCTTTATTTGTACACTATTTGGTTGTCGAATCTTCTTTTTTTGTGGTTGTGTTCTGTTCTGTTCGCGTAATTAACTCAACTGTGATGACAGCTGCTTCAGATATTGAAAAACTATCCTTGTTGCGATTCTTCCAGGATACATTATCTATAGAAGAAAGGAAAAAAAAAAGTAGTTTAAGTCAAAAAATTCAGAAGGGGCTTTAGCAAGCCGGCTAAACGAGCGGAAAAGGAAAAATGTAACAGAGGAATTACACTTGAAATGATAACGGGCCCAATTTTTTTTTACCTCGCAATGGAAGTAGCGAAAGAGTGATTTATGGTAGTAGAAAGCAACGACACTAAACAGTCTTACAAAGAATACGGCTACTATAGATCATAATACCAATTCAACAATCCTTTGTAACAATGTTGTCGCTTCTAAAACTTTCTTCAATTGTTCAGAGGAGGTCAGTCAACTTTTTGAGGCCTGATAACGAGTCAAAAGTAAATTTTTGTTGTTTTTTTCAAAGGATCACCGCCACAAAAAAGAAATTAATTGTTAAGTCTATCAGCAGAAGGGGAGAAATTACAGGACAAGAGACTTGAGCAGCAAGTGTAGTTTTTGGGCGAAAGTTGTTTTTTTGGAGCTGGGAATAGTATTATTTTTTTCGCTTACAAAATTACATGGAAATAACGAGGCTCAATTATTAAACTACTGGTCGTAGGTGTAACTTGTGCAAAGGTTTTGCTTTAAAAACTTTGCTGAAGTACAAGACGGTTTTTTAAAAAAGTGCTGGAGGATCCGCTCTTTAGAGGTTGGGTGTAAGGAAAGATTTTTAAAGAAGGTTATTGGTAATTACGTTACATTTTAGAATCAACAGCGAAATTCGTGGCTTGTGAGGTGGAACTAGACCATCATTTTGTGTACTTTAGAGGAACTAAGTTTAGACTTCTTGTTCATTAATGCGTCAGCTCTTATACATTTAAATAGTAGTCGGCTTTGAACAAATTCTTTATCTTTGATATGCCGAGAAATAAATTTTTTTGATTTTTATGGCTTAGGATTTTCAATAGTTCTGCATCTACTGACTTGAGTGCTCACATCGGGGAAGTGTGGAAAAAGTTTCTGCAATTTCCATTTTGTTTACTTTTTTTGCATTTCAATAACAATTTTTCATTACGTTGGGTGTTACACGATAAGCGTTTTTTGAATGCAATCTAGCAAGACCAAATTTACTTTGAAAATCTACAAATTTTTGTAAAAAGTTGATTTTCTCTTATAAATTTTTGAGAATACCAATTAATCTATTTAAGGGGACTGGACTTTCCATATTTATCTCATGTAATTAACTACGACTTCCCACTTCAAATGACGGATTATATTCATCGCGTAGGAAGAGTGGGTCGCGTTTCAAGTAAATACAGTGGCCGTGTAACTTCATTTGTTCGTTCTTCTCCTGAGGTCACTTTGGTAAATGCGATTGAGGTAAGAATTTAGAATTTTTTTTAAACCGCATATATTTTTCTGCACTCTTAGCTGTATGGATCTGCTAGTTTTGTGAGGAAGCAATGTTGTAATTCTGTTTTTCAGTTGGCTGCGCGTTATGATAAACCAATAAGTGGTTTAGAGGCGGATCATAACAGTGTGGTAGAGGAAAGGAGCGGCTAATTTTGAGCTTTTGTATACTTTTGCATGATGTACACTTTGCCACTTTAACCGGCCATAAATGTGGTGAATATTTGTAGATTCCTTAATTGATAATTTGGCAGCCATTTGACTACGGCGCAATTTTATTTGGAACCAATAGCTGCTGTATGAGTCCTTCGTGAAACTATTTATTGGCTCATGAAATTTTATGGTTTCAAAGAAGTTTCATTATCTTAGTTGGAAGTGTGCAAGTGAAGGTGCTAGACAAGTGTAAACAAATGAAGACTTTCTGCTTGTTTGGTTACTGTAAATTTACGCTACTCAGAGAACATATTTTATTTTCATATGTCAATGCAAAAAATTTTTCATAATTTTCCAAGGTGTTGAGTTGTTTATAATCTTTTTAGAAGAGAACTCATTGTGGCTTATTCGTTGCTACTTACCTATAGAATCCATGTGCGCTCTCTAAAATGTAACAATGGTCAGATTTTACGAGGCAACAAATGTAAACGGGTATCTACGATGTTTTATAAGTAAACTATGTTATTTCTTTCTATCTTCCTCTGAAAAATTATCTTGGACAGCTGAGAAAACTAGTGGTAAAGTCTTCCACAGTCCCATAGGTCGGCGTTCTTTGTTTTCTTCATGTAGAACTGCGTGGAACTGCGTGAATCACGGAGTTAGTTAGCGCACAAACGAGAGCTGAGTTATAGTACTGCACTAACGCGTAAACATTTGTAGTGAAGGTAATCACAGCTTTCCTGATAAAGTTGGAATTGTTTAAAATGAAAAAGGGAACTACCGGATAACTTCTGCAAGCAGTATCATCTCACAAGCAATGGGACCTGCACAGTTCTCTGGGCCGTTTTACAATTTTTATTTTATTTCAGTTTTTTTTTTGCCGCCAACCGCCTTAGTACTGTCAACACTTGGTCGGAAGCAGAAAACTGTCAGGAGGGGGGGGGAGGGGAGGATTATTATCTTTCTTTTGGGAAGTTTCCACTTTGTACTTTTTTGGGTGCTTATAATGAAATAGTAAGAGGGTTCAACCCTTAAAACTGTTGATCCCTTGCAAAAATATAGACAGTCAAACTACTTGTTCTTTTGCTCTCCTGAACTAGAAGATTTGGACATTGTCGTTGCCTTAGTCATATAAAAGGATCCTTTTTTGTAGAGCGTCAAACCGTAAAGAGGACCAAAAGTTGCTGTTATAGTTTAATTGTCTTGATAAAACAGTTCAGTTAATTCGACCCACGAAAGTTTACAGGACTTTAAAGAAGCACCATTAAGAGTTCAAAAGTCAACGGTGACTTACTAGCGGGGCTCCCATTTCTAAAATCTATAAAAAATTTTCTCACTCAGCCAAAGCTACTGAGCTGAAGCGCATAATTGCCATTTAATTGGCTGTTGATTCAACACAGTTAGATTCGGTTTTCTTGCTCTGTTATTGTATGAGGTAAAAACTTTAGATAACAATAAATTACAGGAAAAGCGATGCTACGTTTTGAAGAGTGAAATCAAATATAACGCGTTTGCGGTCATAGGTGGTTTGTAAAGGCTTTTTTGCTGAACTGAAATGAAATGTAGTGCATTATTGGAAGAAAATGACTGTGCAATTAACTCAGTTCAGTACAGTATGCAATGCTGCATTTATTGAAAGTAGAATATATATTTATTTGTTAGCTGACTGTATTCAAAAACCAGGAAGCATGTTCTGTCTTTTACCACTTTTTAAATCTGGGTGCGAGACACATGCGTAGGGTAGCCATTGGCTGTAAAAAATACAGAAATTAGGACTTTTTAAGTCAAGTGGAAAATAAGAAAAATGCTTGATGAGACGAATATGTTGAAGGCTTTGTATAGCATTCTGTTTTGAGAGTTTTAAATCAGGCGGCCATTGGTTTTTTTATCGCCTCTCAGCATTTTTAGAAATGTTTGTTGGTTGCCTCACTTACTGCTAGGAAAGAAGATTTAGAATTAAAGAGGAGTGTAATGAAAAAGAGCGAGCAGATATAAGAAAAAATTGATTTCTATCAAATATTTTTGAAAAAATTTGACGGAAGAATTCTCAATGTACGCTTATTGATTATTATTTTGAAACTCTGAACACTCATTAACATTATTTCAACCGAATTTCTGCGGTAGAAAGTGTCAAAACTTTCTTCTTAAAATTTCTTAAATAACGAATTAGTGCATTAACCCATTCATCTTTCACTTTTTTCTATTTGTCCGGGCGAGTACTTGTCGAGAAACTGAAGGTTTAGAAGCACTACTAATAGGCTATGAACAGTGAATATGGCCAAATGAATACCGAGACCCTCAACCACAAATTGCGAATGAATTCTCAACTGTTGTCTCAGTTGTTATGAAAACTACCTTTTCCCTAATCTTGTCCGATGCTTCTGCACATTTTCTCAAGCTAATTATGTACAAATTATTTTTGTTTGTTTCCGAAGAGGAAGGTAGAACAGATTCACGTAAATTTCTTTGTTTACTATTTTGGCTCCCCTCTCAATCATTCCTCCTTCCTACCGTAAAAAGTTATCGTTTTTCTCGCACAAAGCTCTATGGTGACTTTCTTTAAAGCAGAAATAGGGACGGTTATAATTACAGTCAAGGACAAAATACTTCGGACGTAGACAATGGATACAGAAATGTTATGGAATTTTTAATCCCTACAGTTACTTGAGTCAATCTAAAGCATAACTAACCCCCCCCCCCTCCCCCTATCACGGTTGATTCCTCTTTTGTCAAAGTTCCGTAATTTGCTCTTACTAACTTAGAGACTTATATCAAACTTTTTATACTTCAGTTCTTGTTCTACGCTTATAATCTCTACGAGTCAAGTGTATACTAATAGACGAGTATTGAATGAATTTATTATCTTCAAAATGGTGGTAAAACAGTTCAGATTATACAAATATTATTCTAATTAAAGCGCTGCCAGTATTTACCAAAACTACTAGTCTACTCAAAATTAAAGATGAGACAGGACGGATAGGATGAAAGACCCAAGAAAGGCGAAACTATTAACCGTTGACAACAAGCTTTATAACATAATTTTGAAATTTCACCGACCTGTGGAATATTTCCAAATTTGACAGAATACGGTCAATTTTGTCAGACGAGGAATAGGTTTCAGTCGCCTTCAAATGATTTCAACAACAACAATAACTTCCAAACAATTTTACAAACTGTACTTGAGTAGGTATAGAATAAAGTATGAGGTGGTAACGCGAATGAATCTTTCTGGAGTAACTCCTACTTGATTAAGAAACATTACCAAGCATTAATTTTTGCAATTTGAGTTCTGTCGCCTACTGTAGAAATTTGGCTCAATTACAGTATAAAAAACATTCACGGTTACTCATTCAAAATTTTTATGATTATTATACATTTGGGTGTTTCTAACAAAAAACTTTGGCTGTCACTTTATGCGCTGCTCAACTGGAATCAGACAGCGGACACAGAGGTTTGATTCGCTTATTCCTCGCTTTCTATTTGCTGTTGTCTTATATTTAAAGCACTCATCGTGGTAATGATCTGCCCTACAGAAAGTACATTAAAATTTAAGTTTTCTTTCACCTACTTCGGTAGACTTAGTAACTGCAGGTTTAATAGATTGGATGATTGGTCTTCACCTTGTTCCTGGAGCAATCGAGTCTTTTCTACCAGGCTTGGTAACAGTATAAGGCCTTTCTCTTACCCTAATTAGTTTATGAAATTTCTCTCTAATGACATTAATATTCTAATATTCCAATCAGGACATACTAGTTTCGTTTCTTCTAGTTCGATTGGAATTTCAGGTGGAAGTCACTTCTCTATTAGAGCCACTCTTCTAGGATAATTGATTTCTTTTTTGTAAGCGTTCAGTCGCTTACATATTTTGTTGATCATCTTTACTGCTGTCCGGATACCGTTCAGTTGAGGTCCAGCACTGCGAGTATCGCTAAATTGTTGATATAGTGCAGTCTTGATTAAGTTCTGGTCCCCAAACCTTCTCTTCAGAATTTGAATCGAATGTTCGTAATTGTCATTCCGGCAGCTACGGCATAAACAGTACCTCGCGAACAGCTTAAATAGTGAATTTCTGCACTGTCGGGATATTCACCGCATCGATTGCTGATGAAAAACGTTTTCAGAACTCCATACATCCCTTTCGGTTTCCATTATAAAACGGAACACTTAATTGAGACAACTTTATTTTGAACGATTGTTTGCGCTGGTTGTTCTTAGGACTTCCTTTCTCGTCCCAGCAACACTGCATTTTATTCTTAAGTCAATGATTCCTGGCAAAACTTTTGTCTTGTCAAGAGTGGTCACAAAGTTGGATGGATCTTCTCCTTTTCTATACTCTTTACCCAGTCGTTCCTCCTTTTCCGTTTCCGTGGGTAGTGACTCCCTTATTAATCTGCTCCATTCTTTTTTGTCGTTTTCCAACTGTTCATCAGCCTCCCCCGGATATCTTTTATCGCAAGCTAGCGCCTCTATCAGTCGTAGACACCCCCTTTTGTCTTTTGGTATTTCTGTTTCCTAGTCCACCGTCAAGAGACAATCTTGCAGGCGTTTATTAATGCTAGTAATGGATTTGCGAATCCCGATCAACATATAGGCGAAGAGCTAATTTCTTATTTAAAAACAGAATAATCATCGTTTGGCTTTAGAATTTGGAGAACATGCTACTACTAATGTGCGTTCTCCCAGCCCGTGACACCAGTAAATCAAGTTTACGTAGCGGAATCCTACTTACCCCTACAGTAACTTTATTTAAGTTGAATTAGAGCCCGACTAAATTTACTGTATTACGATTATTCTCTGTTTTGTCGGAGAACCGTAATTTGTTTTATTATCCTAGAGAGTCCTCTTATATCCTAATCCAGGTTTTTATTCTCTGTTTCATAATCTTTACCAATTTAATGTAAACTGACAGAAAAATATGGAATAAGTTTTATTATCTTCAAAGAAAAAAGAGAAAATTTCTGATTATACAAATGTCAATTCAACCAAAACGTTGCCAGTATTCACAGGGAATACGAGTTTACTGAGAAGACGGATGAAACAAGACAGATTGGAATAAAGACCTAGGGAAGGAGAAACTCACTGCATTTTAACAATGAGTTTTTATAACACAAACTTGAAAATTTTACTGACGTGAGAAGAAAGACTCAGGAAAGAGAGAAATTTATTTGATCTTAAAAATAAGTCTGTAAAAAAAATTGAAAATTTTGTTGACCTGTAAAGGGACTTCAAATTTGACAGAACACAGTAAAATTTGAAAGAACTTCAAAATAAGACAGAAAACAAACTTTTTTCAACCGATCCAAGGCGATTGAATCAACAATAATAGCGATACAATTGCAAACATAGCAATCATTAACAAAAAATCCTCATTCTAGTTGATCTGCCCTTTGGCCTCCGAAAAAAGAATAAATTTTTTGTTTTACCAAAATAGATAAAACAAAGAGCTCACAGTCCCGATTACTGTTGGGTCTCGGAAATGTTTTGTTAAATTATATTAACAAGACTTGCCCATGTTCCTTTCTTCAAACTTATGCAGCAAATTTTTGACCTAGTCATTAAATTTTCTTACTGTTTTTCTGATGTCTCTCAGTTTCGAGTGGAAGCACCGACAAAAATTTTTCCTTTTATTTTGCTTTTATTTTCCGTTCATTGTTAATAAACTAGCGGAACAAGAGAATCTATACTGTTAACTTCTCATGTTTCATATTTTCTTTCTTTCAAATACCAAATAGTTATTCTTATATTCTCTTCTCCATGTTATGACGGTTTTTTCCACATTTTAGTCCCAATAAATAATTTCTTGATTTTAAGAGTATATTGATGATGAACAGTGAATTGACTAAACCGCAGCGAGAGAAGACTTATTGGGCTCCTCATTCAAATGCTGTCCCATTGAACATCGACAAATTGATGTAGAAATACATTTGGCCCTATTGCAATTGCACATATTCATGTTCAACGCATTTCGCAGTTGCATTTTTTTTTT